AATTTTGAGCAGTGGTCTCTATAAACTCCTGGGCTAGAAAACTTAGAAAAACATAAAATGTATTGATAATTTAACTTTTATAGGTTTTGACATGGTCAATTTATCTTGTAATACTAATTTGACTAAAAAAAACAGTTTTACATATATGTATATATATATTCTGAAAACACTATTTTTAAGTTCGAAGTTTGAAATCTGTTGGTGGGTCTAAAAATTATTTTTAAGTTATTTACGGGGATGGGTCAATCGTAAAAATTACAGATATTATTTTCAAATTTGATTTTCCGAAGAAAAATACTATGACAAAAATAAATATGTATTTATGTTTTTATGTATTTTAACTAATTGTACTACTAAAACCAATAATTAATAATTATTACAATAATTATAACTAAGGTTGTTGTTTACAATATGTTTAAATAATGATGATTAATAACTTTTAGAAGTTTCATAATATTATGCAAAAGGTTGTTTAATGTTTAATACATTTTATTTCAAATTGTTATTCGTTATAAGGAGTAGCAAAAATCATGAAAACTTAAATAGAATACATCATATTTAGCCATATAGTGAATAGACTATCATAATTTGTTTGCCCAATTTTTTATGGTTCTTGTGAATTCCTGTCGGATAAAGATCCCGGGAATCACCCATCCCTATAACTGCAACTACATAACTTATACCACCTGTATATTACGAGTATAACACTATAGTATTAACAATAAGGACTGTGATTTTGATTTGTATTATAAATTATACAGTACGCCTCATGTCCCCATCTTATGCAGTTATACATATTATATACCACTTAATATTACAGCCCAATGAACCGATTGAAAAACGATTTTCCGTGAATTCTATGGGGTTTAGAAGTATCTACACATTTTGGGAAAATGTAAATTCTTCGACTCTTCATGGTTAAAATATAAGTAATACCACCTGAGGTTTTTTGATTATCAACCCTTATTTTTGTCCCTAGGATTGGAGATCATTTTTATGTAAGTCATTATGATCTATTGATCATCATTATAAACCTAAGCTAGACTATGTTATAGATTTAAAGCTTTATAAAATCTGAAAATGATTTGATTTTTCCAAAAACAATCTTCATTAATCATTAAGAAGTAAAATGTAAATTATTAACCTAAGAAAGAGCTTTTAAAGCTTTTTTCTTAAAGAAACATTTTTATGTCTTGCGAATTATTGATTGTATTACATTATAATGATATTATTATAGTAGTATTTTACCACTTTATAACTGATCTTATCGGCCGCACGGCGTTTTGGTTATGCAAATTAAGTACATAGCTGCTGAGACTACATTTTTCGCATTCGGACTTCATGAGGTGCATTTCCCTGGCACCTCCACTTCCGAATTTTGGATTCAAACCAAGGGCTTTCGTTTGTGCTGGATTGTGATCGAATTTCATCGTTTGTGCTGCAACCCTTAAGGAGTTATAAGGGATAACGATTGGGGGTGCCAGCGAAACGACTGCATCCCCACCTCACAATTTTAAAATTGAAATTACGCCATTCGTTTGTGCTCGAGTTTCATCGTTTGTGCTACAAACCCTAATGAGATAGAACGGATCTTTAGTGGGGGTGCCAGCGATATTGCTGCACTCCCACCTCCACATTTTCAAATTTAAATTATACCATACGTTTGTGCTACATTGTGATCGAGTTGTATCGTTTGTGCTGCAACCCCTAATTAACTACAGGGGATCATTAGTGGGGGGAGGGGGGGGGTGGTATGGAGCCATAATGCAGCCCCGATTCAAAATATTGGATCTCCAAATGAGCCAATCTTTAGTAGTTTGCTACTGATATCCTGTACCACTTTTTCGAGGTCAGTACTCTACTACTTCCGGAGTTATCCCTATAAATTTAATTAGAGGTTTGTAAAGACGTGCCGGCACCCCCCATATTGAATTGTTAAATCAGTCCCATGGTACCTATATACCTGGTATCCAGGTCTGAAGCTATCTATGTATTTTTATTTTACCCTGATACCTGAGTTATAACTTACAAAAATTGTAATACAAGTTACAACTCACAATTCATTGTTTTTTAATATTATTGGATTTTTAATTATCATCAATGTATTCTAACTTTGTATTAACTTAATACTGTCTGTTGAATAATTTGGCTGGATTACCTATTTAATAGTATAATAAATATTATTTAAAAATTTAGATCCGTTCTATCTCATTAGGGTTTGTAGCACAAACGATGAAACTCGAGCACAAACCAGCACAAACGTAGCACAAATGAAAGCCCTTGGTTTGAATCCAAAATTCGGAAGTGGGGGTACCAGGGAAATGCACCTGGTGTGAGTGTTACTTGTGAGTTTTAGAATGTGACGTACTGTTGTTAAATGAAACAATATATTTGAGTGGTGCAATACGTTATACATTATTGCCTATTGGACACTTTTAGATCTTTACTTTTCTCCAAGTTAACAGTGTCTAACAGGGGAGTAGTCAAGAGGGAGGTTTTGGGGTCTAGACCCTTCCCCCCTATTGAATCAAAGTGTTTATCGTTTTTAATGTTATATAATTTTGTTTATACTTTTTACAATTTGGACACAGTTCGTTTAGATCTTTATCTAATTATTATTTATTATTATTATTTCAGTATAAAATTCTGTCAGTCCTACAGGTGAGCTATCGATTATTTGTTCATAAAATATCACATTTATGGTAAAATATACTAGGTGAGCGAATCGCTCTACGCGCAAGTAACAGTGTCCAAATTATACAAGCGAGCAATGACGGTTAAGGCATCATATTATCGGACTATGTATGCACGAGCTTGCCTTAAAGTTATTACTCAACGGTCAATTACTACTGCAGGCATCTAAAATAATATTACCAGATTATTATAGCCGAACGAATGTTTATTGCAGTTAAAATGGATTAATTATTTTCTTCGAACATTACTACATTTAATAGCAAGAGCTCGGGTGAGTAATACATTTTATAGCGCTAAAAACGGTTTCGAAAGAAACAATAATATAATGATGGAGTAACAAAATATTATATTTTACCATTGCAGCAGGTTCAATGATTGATGAAATTAACAAAGTGCTGGCGAATCGACATTTAAAAAATTAGCTCTAACCTAGGTATACATCGTAAGGAAGCCGTAGCTGGTGGTTTAGACACGACACATTATTATACGTGTATGATACTCCACGATGTCACAAAAACAAAGGTAAACCCTTACTGGACCGTACTCGGTATACATATAAAATATACACTAAGTGACTAATCTCGATTGATCTACAGCATTTTCTTTGTGTCCTTGATAGTCGCATTTCAATAGGTAATGTCTGATGTTATGATTTAGATAATATATATATATACCTATGCGGCACTATGCCTACTGTCTGCTAATCTGTGAAGACGGAATTACAATGAATTTCTTAACTGATGTGTGCCTATATAATGCACCTACAAATATAATGTATCTATTCTATTATATATCTGTTCATACAATAAACATATAACCAGTATACAGTAAAACCTGTCTTGTAGGGAATTGTTCGGGACCAATAAAAATTTCCGTTTTAGGCAAGTTTCCATACAACTGAATAAAAAGGAAAATTCCGTAATCTAGAGTTATAATATTCCGCACGATTATGGTTGCAACATTTTCCGGCCAATAATAAAAAATATCATAGGTTACATATCATAGGCCTAAACTTAAATAAATCTTTGAAGACATTATGAGAGCAAATATAACGACACGAAATGACAGGTAAACTACGACTACAGTGACAATAATAAGCACTGATGTGTAGACAGGCGCGGCTCCAAGGGGGGGGGGGGGCAAGGGGTGCTCCCCCCCGTAGACTCTGGTGAATTGTCTATTATATCTATTTTCTGTAGCCGATAAAATGCATTGTTTCGCTTATAGCGTTTCGGCCNTAAAAAATATCATAGGTTACATATCATAGGCCTAAACTTAAATAAATCTTTGAAGACATTATGAGAGCAAATATAACGACACGAAATGACAGGTATACTACGATAGCCGTGACAATAATAAGCACTGATGTGTAGACAGGCGCGGATCCAAAGGGGGGGGGGGGCAAGGGGCTATGCCCCCCCCCGTAGACTCTGGTGAATTGTCTATTATATATATTTTCTGTAGCCGATAAAATGCATTGTTTCGCTTATAGCGTTTCGGCCGTATCCGTTTTTAATTTTATTTAAGATGCCCCCCCGGTAAATATGTTCTAGATCAGCGCCTGTATGTTGATTCTAGATAAAATGTACTTATCTGTCGATACGTATTAGTTGCTGACCTTAATAATTATTGTTTATTAGCAAAATAAATGTGGGTATCAAAAATATTTTTGTTCATTTTATGATGTGTTTTTCCGTGTATATGAGGTGTATATGATTTGAGGGACCAATAAATAGCTTTCTGTTATACGTTTGACAGGTTCCGTTTTATCAAGGGTTTAATCCTATGTTAAATTATAGAAATCTGCCGGGACCATAATAAATTTCCGCACAGAAAAGGATTTCGTCTTATCACTCTTATCAAAGGTTCGGATAAGACAGGTTTCACTGTATTATGTTTCTTATATTTACCAGCCTATTTGCACAGCCATATAAGAGTAGCTTATACAAAATGCTATAATATACCTATATATTTGAATTGTTTTGTATGATGCGTAACATTTTTATATTTATCTAAATAATATTTAAAAAGTTATTTGCTTCATAAGAAAAGTCAAACTGGCAGAGGTTACCATTGGTAAATATTCAATTTTACAAAATATATACAAAATAAAATGTGTACAGAGTATTCAAAATTGTGTGCCTGGCTCATGCTTTGAAATAATAATATGTTTAGTATCTATGTTTACAGTTAAAATTTACTTTTTTAATTTTATTTTGTTCGGTTGTCAATGAAGTGATTTAAATAGTTTATGAAAAATTATATTAAATATTTGTTTTTAAATTTAAATAAAATTAACAGCTATTATGAACCAGACAACTAAATCTAAAATTGATCAAGATAAAATTAAAATCAATGAAGTGGGCAAGCAATTTTTCGAAATCCAATTTGAAGCCAAAGAAAAGATTATTACTAGGTTAAAAATGATATAATTAGTTGCTAGTACAATATTAAAATCGGTGTTTTGTGAAAATACTATTATAACGTACGCACAGGTTAAATGAAGAGATCAAAGATTTCAATAATAAAAAAGAGAAGTTTAAAGGTAAAATCAATCGTTTAAATAACAAATTGAAAGATGATTACGAATATCTAAAGAAGATATTGAACGAGAAAATTAATTTAGAAAAAATATTAAAGGCGGAAACCGCTCAACTAAAACAAGTTTGACTATTTTTTTCGATAATTTGAAATTTGAATATTTTTAATGACGATAAGTGTATCACGCTTAAAAATGATATAGGAATCCAATTCTATGGAAGAAACAGGCTTACGTAAGTTAAAAGAACAACACGATGAATTCATAAAAGAAGCTGGAAAATATAAATCAATTACTGCTATATACGGTGGGTAGTATACTATAGTACATATATCTAAATATTTTAAATTTTAAAACATTATATTAATATTATATTTTCTACGAATAAAAAATGTCAGCATTACAAATTATATGAAAAGTATAAAATTAAAAAAAATTATTTTTGTCATATCAGTGGGTAGATTAAACAAGTTGCACGAATTTTCTAAGCACGAAGAACTACTCAAACAGAAATACACAAATATTAAAGAGCAAAATGTAATCACGGATATAAACTATGAGGTTGCATTGAAAAATCTCGAGGAGAATAAATATAAAAGTGAACAAATGTAAGTATTTTTATGTTGTTGATTTATAAGATAATAAAGATAGACATTTCTACAAAATGTTAATGTTTGATAACCATATTAACATATTATTATGATAAATTATTATTGTTTGTTTAAACTTTAGCTCGAAAAGAAACATGTTAAAACGATGTGTAGATTTCTCGGTACACATGAAAAAACAATCATTGATGGTCGAATGTCCTGTCGAAGGGGCGAGTACCAAAGAAGTCCTTGATCTTAAAGAAATGGTATGGTACCTACATTTATTTATTACTGATATTGATAATAAAATACATTTCTAATCATTACAGTTGGACATAGGCAACAAACAGAACGCAGTTCACGAACAAAATCGTCTCAATTTGAAGGAAGCAAATAATGCGCTTAACGAGTTAGTTAAAGAATTATCGAAGTTGAACCGAGAAAAAATTAAACAAAAAAATACTGACGATTATTCGAAGGAGAAAAACGTAAGCTCAGCTGAACATAATTATTCGAAACACTACATGCCTTTATAATGTTATAATTATAGATTGAATCGTATCGATAATATTTTTTTTTAATGAATTACTGAGCATGCTCATTCCTATTTTTCCCACATATGCGTTGAATCGAATTCTGATTTTTAGTATTTTTCTCTTTTTTTTTTTTCAATTTAGAAATACGCCTCAACTGCCAGGGTTATTGGCGTTTAAGATATACATGTTACAGTTTAATTATAATTTACTTAATGATACTACAGCATAAAGAAGAAAAAAAAAAAAAGAAAAGTATATAAGATAATTATATGATACAAATAAATATATAATAATATGAATTGTATGTGGTATGTTAGAATTTGTGTTATATTTTTTGCAGAAGGTTTGTTTCTTTGAGAAGTTCTAGGAGTGAAGATGTTCTTTCCGTGTTTAGTGCTAGTATTTCACAAAGGTTGTTGGGGAGCATGAGTTTGTCTCTGGCATCTTTTGTGAGGAGGCATTCTGTTAGCAGGTGTTTGACAGTAGTCACGGTGTTGCAAGAGGTGCATATAGGTTGTTCCTTTTTGCTCATTAGATGTTCATGAGTGTAAAGTGTATGGCCAATTCGTAATCTGTTGAGTACGATTTGATGTCTACGCGGGAGTGATGAGTCAGGCAGCCAAGGGAGGGTGGATGATTTTATTTCTCTTAGCTTGTTGTTTCGTACTGATCTCCATTCTTGAAGGCAGGTTTGGTCAAGGTTAGTGTTTATAAGGAGTTTTGTATCTAAATGTGTTGTTATATTCCAGAAATCAGTTGGTTCTTTCGTTGCCCTTTTGGCTATTTTGTCTGCAATTTCGTTACCAGGTATAATGTTGTGTCCAGGTACCCATAGAAATCTGATGTCTTTTTTGGATAAGAATATAATGTTTAATATTAGGTTGCCTATTGGGTTGTTTTTTTGTGGATTTGCTAAGTTTGTGAGGGCGCTGAGAGAGTCTGTGTATATGGTTGAAGATTGGATATCCGAGGTGGCAGCTAATTCTGTGGCTTTTAAAAGAGCTAGATATTCTGTTGTATAGATTGAGTTGTATGATGGGATTTGAAATGCTGTTTGGGAGTTTGGCTGGATTATTGCGATTGCGGTTCCTTCCGTATTTTTGGATGCGTCAATATATATTTCTTGATGTGGTGGAAGACTGTTTTTTAGATCGAAGAAGTTTGATTTGTAAATGTAGGAATCGGTTTCTTTTTTTTTGTGTGCAGTTAGGTTGAAATAGATGAGAAGATTTGAGGTAATCCATGGTGGCTGTTCAGAGACTTAAGGATTAAGTTGGTTTGTAAAAGTAATATTGAGGTCCGAGGCATAGGTGGCTGTACGAGTGCCAAGATTGTTTATATCGTTATTTTGGAATTGGTTGATTGAGTTACTTAATATTGTGCTGATGGGATTTTTTGTTGCTATTAATGTTTTTGAAGAGTATTCCAATGTATGTTTTATTCTCCTTTTTTCAAGAGATTTAGAGCCTGTGAAGATTATGATGCTAAGAACTGGGCTGCTTTTGAAAGCACCAATTGACAATCTTAAGGCTGTATTGTAAATAGGATCTAAAGTTTTGATTGTAACAGCAGATGCTCCTGCATATAGTATTGAGCCATATTCTAGTGCTGAGAGGATTATTGAGTTGTGTATTATCTGTAATGTTTTGCTTTCTGCACCCCATTCGAGGTTACTTAGTGTTTTTATTATATTGAGTTTAGATTTTGCTTCATTTTTTATGTTGTTTATGTGGGTTCGCCATGTTAGTTTTGAATCAAAGGTTAAGCCTAGTATTTTTATGTTGAATACTCGAGGAATGTTCATGTTTTCCATTTTAAGAGAAGGGTTGTAGGGGATGTTTTTCTTTGAGAAAATAATGAATTGTGATTTGATCGGAGAGAAAGTAAAACCTGAAGTTTTACTCCATTGTAGTAGCTAGTTTATACAATTTTGTATCTGCTGAATTAATGTTAGTAGATTATTGCCCCTACAAAATATGTTACTATCATCTGCGTACATTGTGATTTTGTTTGGGGGTTTTATGATAGATGGGAGGTCATTGATAGCTAACAGAAAGAGAGTTGAGCTTAGAGGAGAACCTTGAGGACTGCCATTATGAAGAATGAATGGGGAAGATAGTGCACCATTATTAGATACTTGTATTGTTCTATTTGAGAGGTAATTTATGATGAAGTTAATTATGTTACCCTTAAGATCCAACTGTACCATGTATTTAATAAGACGGTGGCGCCATATAGTGTCGAAAGCTTTTTGTAAGTCGAGGCTGAGTAATACCAAGTATTGATTTTGATTGAAAGTTTCTTTAATTTCATTTTCAATAATTGCTAAAGAGTCCAAAGTAGAATTATTTTTGCGGAAACCATGTTGAAGATTGGATAATAGATTGTTAGATTCTAGGTACCACATTAGTCTAGAGTTAATAATTTTTTCTAGTAGTTTTGTCATGGAACATATAATGGATATAGGACGGTAACTAGATACGTGGTTTTTAGGTTTGTTGGGTTTATGGATCGGTTTGATTATAGCGGTTAGCCATGTTGTTGGGTACTGGTTTTCCATCCAAATATGATTAAAGATCTTGAGTAGGTAGAGTTTTCCGTTTTTTGGAAGATTGAGAAGAAAAATCGTAGGTATATTGTCTATTCCGCAAGCATTGCTTTTCTTGGAACTGAGGGCTGTTTCCATTTCTTGGATAGTGAGAGGACTATTAATATGAGTATTATCGTGATTTTGACAGAGATTGATAGGTACAATTTCTTGAGCGCATTTGTATCTTTGAAAATCAAGGGGATAGGTTTCAGTACTACTAGCTTTTGAAAAGAAAGAGCCAAGTTCGTTTGCGATTTCTGAAGGTTCTGAGTATATTATGTCATTTTCGTTTTTGAGGATTTGTATATTGTCGTATTTGTTGATGCATTTAAAAGCCTTAATTTTATTCCATATTTGTTTTGGGTTTGCTTTAGAATTGATTGAACTTGTATAGGCGCGCCAACTCGTTGTTTTGCTGTCTTTAATTGTACGTCTGGCTTGGGCTCTGCGTTTTTTGAATTCTATGAAATCATCTTGGGATTTAGTGCGTTTAAATTTGTTGAAGGCCGTCTTTTTTGATTTGATAGATTCATTACAATGAGAGTTCCACCAAGGAACTGGGGGCTTTCTACCTGAGAATATAGTTTGTCCTATTGTTAAGTTGGCTATTTCTAGAATAGCATTTGTGAAATTTTGTGTAACTTCATTTAAATTGTTAATTTTTGGTTTTTCAAATTCAATTGAATCTATTTTTTGTTCTAAGAGGGATGTGAATAGATTCCAGTCAGCGGTGTTTAGTTTCCATTTTGGTTTGCCTACTAGAACGTCTTCTGTATTTCTGTACGTTAATTTCGTGATTATGGGCAAATGGTCGCTTCCATATGGATGAGATAATGTGTCCCATGTAAGGTGAGGAGCAAAAGAAGGTGTTGTAAATGTTAAGTCAATAGCTGATTGCGTACCGGATGCTGTGCCAAAATGAGTTGGTTTACCGTTGTTCAGTGTAATTAGGTTTTCAGAATCTATGACCGATTCGATTATTTTCCCTCTAGTGTTTGTAGTAATGCAGCCCCATAATTTGTTGTGACTGTTGAAGTCACCTAGGAGAATGAACGGCGGAGGGAGTTGTTGAATGATGTTTTTTAAGTCTGCTTCGGTGAAAGGTGATTGGTTAGGAAGGTAAAGGTTGCAGATTGTAATCTTTTGTTTGAGTTGAACAGAAATGGTTACGAATTCAAGTGGAGTATTTATTAGTATTTCTTCGGAAGAATATGAGTCTTTTATGAATGTTGAGATACCTCCGCTAGCTCTGATTGCGTTAGTTCTTATTTTGGTATAATTTGCATATCCTTTTAGTGTGTTTTTTTTATAGTTTGTAAAATTTGTTTCTTGTAGACAAATGATTTCAGGGCAGTATTTGTTTATTATAATTTGTAAATCACTGATTCTTTTGTAGAAACCATTTAGGTTCCATTGTAGTATGTTATATTTTGTATTATTGTGCTGCATTGTAGGTTTTATTTTTATAATGTTAGATTTAAGGTCTTGTGAAGGATTGATATGTGTCATTGTTTAATGTATTGAAATATGAATTAAGCTTCTGATTCGTTAGAATCATAGGGTTCTGCGTTTAACGTTTTTAAAAAGCGGGTTAATCTGTTTTTGATGCTACCATTTTGTAGGGTCGGTTTGATAGACATAATAATGTCCAATAAATCTTCTTTTGATATATTGTATTCATTATAAATTGTAGGTGGTTCGAAGTGGCCTTGATTATTTTCAAAAATGTGTTTAAAGGTAATAAAGTCGAATTTAAAATTGTTTTGATCGGTGAAGAGTTTTTTTGCTGGTTCTAGATATGCATCGATATTTTCTAAAAATGTTGTTAGTGCTGCTGATTTTAATTTTTTGTTCTTTTTCTTTTTTTTTTCGATGATTTCGTTTTGCGGGGTCACTGGGTTTTGTGGAGCAGGCATCGCTTTTGAGTTTCCATTAAGTTTTAATGGAGATGGAGGTAGAGAGTGAGTTAGAAATGAGTCAGGTGAGATCTTTTATTGCCTGTTGGTTGATCAATATCCATTAGGATAACGTCAGAGTTTGGAATCGCATCTAAATTTTGAAGTGTTGGTTTTGATGTGATCGATGATGATGGTGGAAGATTTGATGGCGATGTAGGCTCAGAAGCGATATTGGGTGTTTCAAGGGGAGATGTGTCGGTGTTCGATGAGGAGGTAGGTACTATAGGGGTATTATATGTATTTGACGAAGCGTCTAATTTAGACGGTGTGTTT